TAAGCAACTATTGCATGCCACCTCTGTAATCTCAAATCTGGTTGGGGTGATAAGAGAAGTGCCTAATTAACTGTAATACAATGACATAGATATTAAAATGAAGACAAAATGCAATGGAAACATGTGGTAGGGGAATGTTTAACTTTTCTCTGGAGGATGGAGCCCATAAAAACTTTGCAGAAGAGGTAATTTCTAAAGAGTGATTAGTAATTTTTTAGGAAAGGGAGAAAAGAGCTTTGGAACAGAACAATATCAAAGAGGCACAGGGACATGAAATTATACAGCTTGTCTAGACAACAGTGGTAATGAGGTATGGCTGGCACATAAGAGGTTGTGGTGTTAACATCGAATTTTCAATTCCCCGTCAAGATCTTGTTTTGACTTATTCTGTAGTCAAAGAGGAGCCATTGAAGAGTTTTGAGCAGGAATATGAGCATGATTTTTTCTGTATTTGGATTCAAGTTGGAAGAGATTGGAGACAAGATAACTGGCTATTGGTGTTATCCAAGGAAGATGACAAGAGCTTGAATATCAGTGGTGGAAAGACTACACCTAAGGGGCAGAGTAAAATGTGTATCAACTGGTCAGTCAACAGATATTAATTTTGCTTGAACAAGTTATCAGCATTTTCTGTGCTGGAAATTAAGAAGATAGCAAGTCCTCCCACACAGAACTTCCATTCCTTTGGGAGAATTGGGCAATAAACAAATATATACATATACATATATGTACGTATATATACATATACATATGTACATCTATCTATCTATCTATAAAGCAACTGACGATGATGAGCAGGAGGAAGTGATCAGTCACCATGAAAGAGAATAAGGGGAAAGGGGGTCTTTTTAGTTAGGATGATATCCAAGTTGCCTCATGAAGGATGAGAGAAGCCAGCCATGTTAAGAGCCAGAGCTCATGTGAGAAGACTGCAGTGACGAACTTTCTGAGGTAGAATAGTTAATAGGAAAGGCTGTGTGGTAGACGGGGTAATCATACTGCCTTTAGAGTCAGATGCCTTGAATATAAATTCAGGCCCTGCTGTTTATAAGCCTCAGCTTCCTCTATTAAATGAGAATAATAATGTACACATTACAAAGTTACTGTAAAGATTATATAAAGGGATGTTATATAAAATTTAGCACATAGACTCTAGATAGAAAAAACTCAGTGGAAATTAGTTGCTATTATCGTCATCATTATCAAGAAGAATAGGGAGAAATAGGGCACTTCAAATTTCTGTCTTAGGTGACTGGAGTGCATAAGGCAGCCAAAAATAGGAACATGTTGGGGTGTTCAGAGAGTGATCTGCTTTGAAGAACCTGTTGGACATCCAGCTGGAATTTGAAACTAGAGGTCAGGAAGGAAGTCCGCATATAAGGTATACGAGAGTCACTGACTTTGCTTGAAGAAGGTACACAGAGATTAAGGTGAGAAAACAGAAAACTCAGCACTTTATGAGGTAATTGTCTCTTTTTTAGAAAGCTCTGATTATTTGAAAAAAATTACTTTGAATGATTAGAAATCTACTTATAATTGACATTCACTGGCCCTGGTCAGACTTTCTGGAAATATGCAGAATAAGAACAGTCACTCTTCCAAATCAGAGCCTTCGTAGTATGTAAAAAATGGTTTGTTTGACTCCTCAGTCTTTATCTGAGAAAAATAGTCTCATATTTCAGTCATTCCTCATATATGGGGATCTTTATTATTATATCTCATCATTATAGTTGTTTTTTGGATGTAATTTAATTTGTTCTTGCTCAGAACTAAACCCAACATTCCAAATGTGATTCGATCACCATGATAGTTTCAACCTATTATTTTCATCTGTCAAGTCCTTTACAATCTTAATTCTATCATCTAACATATTAGTGATTCCTGCCAACTTTATGTCATATACCAATTTGATGAATGTGATTTCTAAATTTTTATCCAAGTCATTGATAAAGATGTTTAAAGACTAAGCTAATGTAAATTGAACTATCCCTGCTGTTGACTAGTGGGTGGACGTGAAACCTTTGTCTTCACTGACGAAGGGCAAGTTGTGCTTAAAGTTTTGACTGAATGGGCTGAGTCAGATGGGGCATGAATAGCAGGAAGGGCAAGTTGCACTTGAAAGTTTTGTCTTGAATGGGTTGAGTGAGAGGGAGCATGAATAGCAAAAAGGAACTGAAAAAAGGAGATGGAATAGAAATTATTTGACATAGAGGATGGGAGCTGTAAAATCTTGGGATGTCTTTGGTGGGAGTTATTTGGGGCTCCCAGAGGTACAGGTGGGAAAGAAGTTGCAGAGACAGACTCTGGAAGTGTTGTAGGTTGACTAGGCAAGTGACCAAGAGGGCTTAGTCATAATAGTTCTGAAAAAGACTAGTAATAGGAATTCCATATCTTGCAGACAAAGCAATAGAAATGTAGCAGCTGGAAACAGATGGTAATTATGCAGAGATTTTGTACTGGACTCAAATAATGGGTCTAAGTATGGAACAATACTCCAGTCCTGGCAGGATGATATGGTTTGGCTCTGTGTCCACACCCAAATCTCATCTTGAATTGTACTCCCATAATTCCCACATGTTGTGAGAGGGACCCAGTGGGAGATAATTGAATCATGGGGGTCAGTTTCCTCCATACTGTTCTCATAATAGTGAATAAGCCTCATGAGATCTGATGGTTTTATAAAGAGGAGTTCTACACAAGTTCACTCTCTCTGCCTGCTGCCATCCATGTAAGACGTGAGTTGCTCCTCCTTGCTTTCTGCCATGATTGTGAGGCTCCCTCAGCCATGTGGAACTGTAAGTCCAATTAAACTTCTTTCTTTTGTAAACTGCCCATCTAGGGAATGTCTTTGTCAGCAGCATGAAAACAGACTAATACAGAGGAGGATCATAAAAGCAAAGATAGAGAAGTAGGAGCTCTCTCTACTTCACCATAATTGGGCTGGGGTTCTGTTAGGATCACTGTTAGATAGGGCAACTGATAAGGATGAGGGAGGAGAAGTGAATGTAGAAGTTGAATCCTGAGAACGAAGCCAGTAGAGGAAAGAAAGAAGAGTTGCAGCTTTGAGGTGAACAGTGAATATGTGTATAGAGTCATTATTCTTGAAGGCATTAAGTATTAGGTGGGATAGGCCATGCGGAGGCCAAGGTCACAAGAGAGCCAAGAAGTCAAGACTGGATCAATATATTGTTGGGTGAATAACCCATTTTATATCCCAGAAAATTGAGGAACTGAGGCTGCTAGTGTAATTTTTATCTTCATCTACATTAGTTCAGGAACTAGATAAGCCAAAAATCAAACCAGAGTCTGTGGCACAATGTTGGCTCACTGCAACCTCTGCCTCCCGGGTTCAAGCAATTCTCCCATCTCAGCCTCCCGAGTAGCTGGGATTACAGGTGCACACGACCATGCCCAGATAATTTTTGTGTTTTTAGTAGAGATGGAGTTTCACCATGTTGGACCAGGCTGGTCTCAAACTCCTGACCTCAGGTGATCCACGCACCTCGGCCTCCCAAAGTGCTGGGATTACAGGCGTGAGCCACTGCACCCATCCTATATTTTTCATCTTTAGTAAAAGATTTTTAAGGTCAGAGATCATATGAACAAGACTGCATGAACCATAGCATCCTTTAATATATTTTTAATATACAATGAATACTTAATAAAGTATTTGTTACATAAGTATAAAAGATTATCTTCAAATCCTCGAGTATTTCTCATTTTCATGTCTATAACTTCTTGATGATGATGCTGGTGATGGTAATCATAATATTAACATTATACTGGGCACTATGTCAGACACTCTGATAAGTGCTGAAACTCATTTAATTCTCACAGAAACCTTATAGGGACAAGTTCTTATTTTTTTTTCACTTTTTCAGAAGAGTAAATTGACCATTATTAGAGTAATTAAATAATCCGACCAGAGTCACACAAACAGAATGAATGAATTGGGGATTTGAACACAGGCAGTACAATTTCAGAGACAGGAAACACTATATTATATTGCTCCTTTGTTTTTTGACAGATAGTGACTCATTTTTAGTCCATGTCACTTTCAACACCAGTTACCTTTCTTTTAAGGGGCACAAAGAAAGCAAAGACGTTATTACTGGATTCAAAAACATGATTAGAAAACAGCTAAGTTAGGATGAGGATTCTGAGCAAGTAACTAGGCTTGCTCACTAAGTTATTCTTCCTACATACCAATTTCAGAATGAACATGAGCAAACATTTTATTATTTATTTTTTTTAAGACAGGGTCCCATTCTGTCACCCAGGCTGGAGTGCTGAGGTGTGATCTTGGCTCACTGCAGACTTGACTTCCCAAGCTCAGGTGATCCTCTAACCTCAGTCTCCTGAGTAGCTGGGACCACAGACCTGTGCCACCACGCCCAGCTAATTTTTTGTATTTTTGGTAGAGATGAGTTTCACCATGTTGACCAGGCTATTCTCGAACTTCTGTGCTCAAGCAATCTGCCCGCCTTGGCCTCACAAAATGCTGGGATTACAGGCATGAGCCACCACACCTGGCCATGGGCAAACATTTTAAAATAAGAACTTCATGAATCTCCAGGATACATCCTAAATAGTCAAAAATCAATCTGTAAATACCAAGGGATTAGGTATCCATTTTGGGGGAAAGGGAAGAAATTTAAGTTACCAAGACTTTTGCCTTAAAAATGGTTTTTTAGTCCTCATGTTTAAATTAAGGTTTGGACTGGTGAGGCAAAATCATCCGTGTTTCCCATGGCCATGAGACTTGGACAGGACACATGACCAGCTAAAAATATTCTATTTGATTGTATTAATAGAGTTCAAGAAACATTCAATATGTACTTGAAGATTTAGTGTTCAAATGGATCTATTGACCTGTTTAAATGAGTTAACCCACAAAAGAATAGAAGCAATTTTTATAAAGATAAATCAGAGAAACCAGAAACTTCTATGAATACAGGTAATTCCATTTTTGCTACATAAATAATTAGGTGTATACATACCTTATAAATGTCAGTACTTAAATTAGAATTTTCCAAGATCTTTTCAGATGGATATCATAGTTAGGTGAACAAAAGAAGAAGCAGGCGATGATCCAGTGCTCTTTTTTTTTTTTTCTTCAAAAACTCTGGTGAACTGAAGAGAATATGGTATTCAAAATGCACATCTAAAAGCTTCTAGGTGGAATTTAAATAACTTCATTATTTTTACCTTTTTCTTCCAACCACCCCAAATATTCTGACTCTACGTGGACCAATCACTTGACCGATTTTCTATGTAATTAAAATCATGTGCCTTCAAAACTATTTGTAGGGGGAATGCTTCTGAGACTCCTAGCTTTATCTTTCTATACTTGTGTAACTTAAAAATGACCAGGCAGAAGTTTTTTTCTTTTCTTTAAATTGCTTTGCCAAGTTTCAGCTTTGAGCACATTTTTATGACTGATTTATTAAACCTGGAAACTAGAAGTTTATAATGGAAATTCTCATAAAGCTTTAACTCTAGCCTTGCTAGCAGGTACCCTGAAGAATGGGGCACTGATGGGCCCTCTGTTGCTGCATTTCTAGAACACAACCTGAGGATTTGGTCACATGTTCATTTATTTATAGGTGAATAATCTTCAACCATTCTAACAGAAATTCTTGTTCTGTTGACATAAAGGAAGCATGCAGTAGTTTGGCTATGAATCATACCTTCTGCTGTCATGATTAATTTTAAGGACGCATTCAAAGAAGTTTCCTCCATAACACTGCACTCTGGGAAAAGAAAAAAAAAATGTGCTCATCGCTTAGGCTGACTGAGGAGATTTATTGCAAATAAAATGATTCCAAATTGACTAGGGAGATTTATTGGAAATGAAATTATTCGAAATCCCTGTTCCGAGGCCGGGCTCGGTGGCTCACGCCTGTCATCTCAGCACTTTGGGAGGCCGAGGCAGGCAGATCACCTGAGGTCAGGAGTTCGAGAACAGCCTGTCCAATATGGTGAAACCCCATCTCTACTAAAAAGAATACAAAAATTAGCCAGGCATGGTGGTGCATGCTTGTAGTCCCAGCTATTCGGGAGGCTGAGGCAGGAGAATGACTTGAACCTAGGAGGCAGAGGTTGCAGTAGGTCAAGATCACGCCACTGCACTCCAGCCTGGGTGACAGAATGAGCCTCTGTCTCAACAACAACAACAACAATAACAACAAAACAACAACAAAAACAAAAAAAAGAAATCCTGTTCCTTTTTAAGATATTTAGAAGTTATACCTAAGTGGAACATTTTTGCTTTAGTTTCAGAAATACAAACTTCTGGCATTGCTCATCATTTGAATTTTTCCCTGCAGGCTTTGGCTTTATTAGCAGCTTAAGAGTATATTTAGTACTGTCATATGTGAAATCTCTTCACTCTGTTACACTAATATGGGATAAAATGTCTTTTTTTACAGTGTTACTCATTCATTATATAAAAATGAAAGCAACTACTTCAGTGTGGATCCAGAGCTACTAACTATTTTTATGACAAAAGAGAGGTGACAATACATATCCCGTAGGCACATGAGAGTATTATATGAGTCATTAGTATAATTGATATCCATAGAAAGAGTGTTTTATCCAACATGATTAAAATGTGCAATACATTATGTAGGTTCCAGTGTTCCAGCTGCTGTGTGGTAATCTTTCCTTTGATAGATATCTAGTGAAAAATAAAATTATCCTCGTTAAAGGGATAATCTTCTACTACTTAAGGCTGTGAGAATGTGAGACAGTTGCATGCCACGTGCTTTATCCATTTACATGTGATGTTCGCCTGTGTGTTGTGTTTTGCTGTGGGTTCCACAACAACAGAAAGACAAGTAGAAAAGGCCTCCAAAATGGAACTTCTTTCCTAGCAGACCAGGGAAAACCCTGGGTTATAATTCTGTGTCTCTGTCTTAAATTCTCCTTGTTGGTTCCAGCTTTAAATGCCAACAGTGGTGTCCCAGGCACACATGCGCACACACCCACAATCATAGAGCCTAACATTTTAAATTGGCTTAAAGTTGAGAGTAACTTCTTAAATGCAGATGACTCAAGTAATTGTTTTAAGGGGTGTTTCTACACACAGTAAATGCATCCTCCATTCATTGATTGATTCATATTACAATAAGCTTATCAGTTGCCGATTACGTACTAAGTACTTAGGCTCTGGGGCACAGGATACCACAAGTTGAAGGATTTCATTTTAAATAGTAAACCAAAGAAAGAAAAACAAGAGGGTAGAGAGCAAACCTCATTTTCCCTTTTCAGTACTCAGAAGCATGTGCTATTGAACCATATAACTAGAACAAAAGATAACATTGTGTCTGCCTAATGTTCATCTCAAAGAAGTAAAAGTGAGGTATGCACACTACTGGACCCAGCACCTACAATAGTGACTGTTATTTTTTTTTTTCCTTTTGTGTATATAAGTGATAATAATAATGCTAAAAGCTGAGAGAAAGGTCACATGCTGGGGATAATGCAACATATCCAGGAAAGTAAAATCAGTGACAAATGAAGAAATATGTCTAATTCTTAATTAAGTGGCATATCTGTTAGGGCAAAGAGGTCTGTTGGAAGCTTCCTTGGTAATCAAGGGTTTTATTTTCTTTTCTACTGACCCATAATAATGTTGAGAAGATCAAATAAAAACAATACATGTGAAGCTGCTTTTTAAAGAAAACATGTGCTTCATAGATGTGACATCATTTTAAAACTTTTGTTGACTACCTCCTGTACATTGCAGGCATTATCTATCTATAAATAGAGGATAGCACCTTGCTGCCCATCTAAGTTACAAATGTACCTTATGTGGAATGAGATACCAGTTGCTTTTAAAGATCCTGAATATCAAGAAATGTTGAAAATGATGAATATCTAAAAATTATGTAAGTAAATGAGTTGCTCAGCTATTTCACAGTCTGGTCTGTCTTTCACAGTACAGGATAGGTTACAGCAAGGCGTCATGGTTTGAGAAGAATTATTCATTAGGACAGTGATAATAATTAGATACTATCTATCTAATTAGATATTACCTATCTAATAATATATCTAATATTAGATTCACCACATATATAGGTAAAAACTTTATAGGAAGAAATAAAGAAAACTTTATAGGAAGAAATGATGATGGACCAAAATGCCTACTAGGGAGACTGATTCATTTTTACCTGCCCTCATTTGTTTAAATGTGACTGAATGTTGCCATTTGTGAATAATCAACCAAATATTATGATATATTTTCTTGCTTCTCAAGATGGTCAGATTCTGTTATGTTGTTAGCTGACATTGTTAACTAACTCCCTCCAACAACATATTGTTCTTTCACAATGCTAGAATAGTTTGCTGGTTCAACCCCCAGCCCCACCCCAGCATTATCTCTCCTTAACTTTCCGTCTAATAGCCTCTATGTCATTTGCAGTCCTGTATTAGCGTGACTCTGTCTTCCCTACCAGTATTCTAAAAAGTAGCTTTACCCACCTATTATTTCTTCACCAATGTCCACTATAATTTCATGTTATTGCTGCAGTGTGCTGGTCCACATGATGTTTTCTTGTACCTTAAGATGGTGAGATTTCCTGGGAGAAGATTTTAGAATTTTCTGTATGGCCTCCTGATTACAAAGATTCAGATACGCCTGTGGTCTTATAAAAGTTACAGTAATGAGATTGTGATTCTAATACTACATAAATATTGTTATTATTGGCATGAGTAATAATGATAGATGGGAATAATAATAAAGACTTGGCATGGCCTTTTCCTCAGAGTTTTCAGTGTTTCCACTGGTACAATTGGTGATATCGTTCAGTATACTAAGAAGATAACGTGATCGTGCAGGAGCCATTATCAGCCTCTGTTAGAGCCTTTTCAAATCCCGTGCTTATTGTGTATGTTATGAATAAGGGAGCACAAAAATTATGCATGCAGGGCCAAATTCTCATCTTGCTCAGGACCCCCATGGACCTCTCTTTGAAGTCAATAGGAGCTCAGCAGGGGGTGGAACAAGATGAGAATTTGGAAAAGGAATGTAAAGAAAAAGGGATAATTTTTCCCGACCATATCATCATTTGGTGTGCGTTAAATGCTCACACAGTGCCTAACCCCAATTCCTTTTTACTTCAGTCTCAATACAATTGCAGGACAGATTTTTTTTTTTTTTCCTGCATCTCTGTGTGTATATACTGTAGGTCATTTTCAATGGGAAGAGAATTGGATAACTTCAATTACTCTCCTGTAAGCTGTTATTATTGAACTGAGCCTGAAGTGCTTTATTTTCAATAAAGAAATATTCATAGAATACAACTTTCATGCAAATTCAACTGCTATAGGTTTTGAAAGATTTTCCAGAAAGGACATTTTTCACTGGCCCCAATAATTAACCACTCATCTTTGTGCCCTTGTTTTCATTCAACTAATTTTTGAAATTATTTTGTCCACTGTGGGATAGCTGCACAAATGTGTGCTCTCCCAGGAAAACACTGTTTGAAATCAACAATGCAGTTTTTGTTTCTGCATTCTAATACGCACCCCCCTCTTAGGATTTGAATTGTTTTGTACACACAATGGTAAATGAATGTCCACAGGAGAACTTTGAAAAACAGTCTGCATATGAGCTAGAGGCCACACCTTCTGCATTCAAGGGAATGCCCACGCTTTGTCAAATTGGCACATGCCTTCTGAATAGGGCCTGCCCTGAGAAACTTGGCTTTCGAGAAAAAGCTCCCTTAGATCGCACCATTTTCTTTCATGAGGAAGCCAAACTCCATCAGAATTTTACACCTGGATGTGTGTTGATGAAATATCTTGTAACTTAAGACCATTAATATTCATGGGACATCTAACATAATTCATGATGGTCTATGATATATGATAGTAAACAGTATCATTTACGCTGAACCTTAAAAATATTGACAAAGACAAGTTCCTAAACACTGATGAAACCTTGTATTTTGTGTTATGATTTCTTGGTTTTATACTTGGTGCGGTTTTTCAATTAACTGCTCTATATGCAAAGCAATTATTCATTTATTATAGTCAGCTTAGATACGGTAAAGATTAGAGGAGTAAAACAAATCATCTTGGTGACACTGGCTAGTGATACATTGTTATTATTCTGATATTTATTTATTTATTTGGTTCTTGCATGGCAGGATTTATAGCACCTACTTTTGAATT